TGTGCGCGCGCGTGTGGTCACAACTGGTGCTCACCCAGATATGAGGCCTCTTACTTTTGACCATTGTGATATTAGGCATCTTGCATTAAATCTACATTCCTTTTTTTTGGGGGGGGTAAGCTATAACTTAGGAGTTGGCTCTGGTGGCAACTGCTACCTCCCTGCCCTTTGCTATGGATAGAGCTATACAGACTAACCATAGGGATTCCAAGGCAACTTGCCAGCTCACACACAGCCCCCAACTGAATGCATGGGAATAATTTCATATCTTTCAGACTCTGATCTTTGGAGATAGAGGTCCAGATCCTGATATTTTTTTTCATTGCATAGCTTTATGATCCTAGGAAAATTATTAACTTCTATTAACCTTAAATTTACTCATCTGTAAACTGAATTTAATAAAGTCTACCTAGATGTACTGCCCTGCCAAATTATGTGCACATGGCATAGGAAGTGAGAGATACAAAGTGCACAGCAGTTAGTAGGAATTAAGGCCCTATTATGTTGTTATTCTAAATATCATTGCTTAACAATTTTGAGTACAACCATCCCAGAAGTATCCAAATGGAATGACCAGTAAGTAGGTAACATCAGTAAAGACAAAAATACATTAGGACTCGATAGGACCTTAATAACCATTTGATCCAACTCCTTTAATTAATACACCACAATCATTAGGATAAGTCGATAACCTACACAAGGACACTTTCTAGAAAGTGTCAGAATTTTGATGAATGAAGACATCTTCCCTTACGTATTAAAAATGTCATTACTAGCTCCAAATGAGTACAGTGAATCTTCAAACCAAAATTCCGTTGAATGAATGACTACTATATAATGATCTTTGTGGCAAGTAGACTCTCTTTCCATCTTCCTAACTAGTGAGGATAATCAGCTTTGTATATACAAGCCATATTTCAGCAAAGTTCTGGAATACAAACTAAAGGGCTTTGGATCAGCAACTAAAGCTTTTAGGAACACTTCAAATGATATCATAATACTTTGTTTTGTAACAAATGAGCACTGAAAAGTAAAGCGATGTAGGTAAGGAAACTGGGTCCTACCAAAGAAAGAAGAGGCAACTGGGAAGAGGGGGGGGGGGTAAAAAAAAAGAAACCTTCAACTTAAAAGACAGTCATTCATTTGAATGAGAATAGGGGCTGGAGTGAGGTTATTCTAATGGAAAGTAATTTTCTCATAATTCTGTACCCTGGTGTGGACATTGTTCTTCTAGTTTTTCATTTACATGTTCCAATAGTGGAAATCTGGTTTGGAAATGGGGGGTATGAGGAATAGAAGGGAAAGAGAATTCACATGGATTGTCAAAGATAAGTCCATTCAACCATGGGGAAATCTTTAGGACTCTCTTCCAATGAGCATTATAGTGCATCCTTCACTTCTGCTGACTATAATTGCCACAAAAGTATTCCACAAACACTTTCCTGCTGAAAAAAGTCAGCCTGATATTTGTTTATTTATAATATTACCTATTGATTGGGTTTGTGCATAAGCTTCAGATGACTCAAGGTATATTGCATCTCTTTATTTAAAGATGTTTATAATATGACTGACATCCTCATATATTTTACATGAGGTTCAGTCTGTGATGAAAGGCATCATCATAGAATAAAGAGTTTTTGATTTCTTTCTCAAGGCTGTTATCTCTGTGAACCTGATATGTAGCACCAAACAGTTAAGATGCTTGGAGATCAAAGTGACTTACTGGGTCAAAATTAAGACAGTCATAATCACATAACATCTGATTATTGGCAAAAATAAAGTGAAGAGTGACCCTGTAAGTATCCCATGCATTGCTCTTATCTTCTGAAAGCAATTTCTTGCATTATCATAGTCATTATCTTGCATGATCGTACCTAATATTTGAAGAATCTCCTCAGTAAAATACCAAGCTGCTGTTCTGTTTGGGAGAAAACACATATCTCAATTGCTGTTTTATACCCAAGCCTGTGAGCACGGCAAAGTTGTTTAACTGCACACGGACATTTGACATGTTAGCTGTGGCATAACCAGGGCTAAAACACGTCAGCATTTCAAACCCCTAGTTTAACTTGAACCAACTATCAAGTCACATCATTTCTTCCTGTGTCAAAGGAGCTGATATTATATGTAAAATGGTTTTTCATTTAACACTGGCCTATCATAGCTACATTCAAAATTAACTAATTCCCTCAGGGTAAACCCAAAGGAAATGCTGTAGCTACTTAATATCCTGAAAATCTGGAATGGGGGAATTTCCAGAGTTTTTATTACTGGTTGATAATTTTGTTCTCCGCACAGATTCATAATATCTATTCTGTAGCTGGCCTTCTAACCTGACTTTAATTTTGTTTAATTAGAAACTTATCAAATCTATAATTGGGTAAGCATTCATTTCTCTCTTGCAGACAAATGCCCAAGTTTTGGTCAAATTATAAGAAAATTAAACACACACACACACACACATATATTCTACATGCAACAATAGTAATAACAACATATTATTATTAGAATAATACAAACAATTAAAAGTTGTTTTTATTTGAACAAAGTTCACAGGCATACCATGGAGCGTCTTGGGTAAATAAACCACGTTTGGGATACTTTCACAAATGACATAAAATGTTATCTCAAAAAATAAAAATCTTCTTGAAAAAACATTCTCCAAATAATCTGTATACTTATACAAACTGACTATTTGAAAGGAGATTTATCTTCCTCAATACATGCATATAAACGTTAATGGATTATAGATAAATAGTAAATCAAAGCCCTAAATTTAATGGATAAAGTATGTAGACAATTGAAGTCTAGACGAATTGTGGAATGCTAATGTTTTTCCCTTAGAGGCTCTGCATTACAGGATCTGAAGACCACCAAGATAAACTGAGTTGAGAAGTAATTTTCTGCTGCCACGCTATTGAATTAATACATTTTGTTCAGCATAATAAAAAACATTTATCATTATTCTTTAAGAACACTGACACCAAAATATTTAGCAAGTAGCGTTCATTCAATTGAAATGTTGATTGGAAATAAGGAAATTAAACTGTCACTGATGAAATACTAAAGCTCATTATCACAAAGTTTCATTTTAAATATTGAGAATTAGCTTTATTGCTGCATCAGTAATGATAAGCATGAGCCTTAAATCCACGCCATTTAGGTTTTATGAGCATTATTACAACATATTAACCATAATTCAATTAATTTACAGAAATTGACATTCTACAATTTTTTTCTTGCTCTTAAGAAAAGATGCTACATAAGGAAGTCCCAACCATATTCCTATAGAATATGTTCTATCTATTTTACCCTTATTCTCCACCCCACCTTTGTGGATCTTCAAAATATTCACTATTTCCAGATAGGTAAATGTGCTAAAGGAAAAACAGCTCTTTCACTGCTACACCTTTGCATCATTAGGACAATACTGACCTCTAGTGTTTTAGGAGGTAGAGAGGCTAGCTCAGCACCTGCCTAACTTCCTCTAACTAAAACACTTAGATGTTTTTCCAAAGCACCATGGGAACAATTTCGCTTAAAAGAAGAAAGAGGAGGAGGAGGAGGAAAGGGAGGAGGAGGAGGAGGAGGAAGAGAAAAGAAACATCAGATTCTAACCTTTTCCTACCTATTCTCTGAAATGATTTCTACACTAAGTCCCCCTGGCTTCTCCCTTTTAGAAAGATTGACCTCCTCAGCACTCCTTTAGAATAGAAACTTTAATAAAATCTTTGTAAGGCATTACCACTAACTATAGATTCTGAAACTCCAAAACTTCCAATCACAGAAACACTGGTTGTGCTTTGAACCATTTTCACGAAACAACATTTGTCTAATTGTCTTCCCTTGAGGTGAAACTCTGGTTGAGTGTCTCTTACTCAAGAGAACCTAAGAGGGTGGGGAGGAATGTAAGGCGACTCCCAAGTACAAAGTAGTCTTCCTATCTTTCTCTAAGAGTGATGTTATGTTCCAATACAGTTAAGCGTTTCTGAGGTTCCTCGTGGGGTTAGCAGACAGAAGAGCAAGCCCAGAAACTCAAGGAACCTTGATAAACCATCTTTGGAAAAAACACAGATGGCTTAATTGCGTTCTTTCTCATTTAGGAGTTTCCAAGCTGGAAAAACTTCCCTCTCTCTGCCTAGAGAGGCAGCTGAGCAATTGAGCTTGAACCTCTGATGGCTCTAGCGATTTATTCAACTTTGACGAACTGGGTTCTTTAAATACACAGTGCAGGTGGCAGATCCCCAGGTGTCCAGCCTTCCTGCCTATTAAATTAAATGCCCTGCACTTGCTGAGGTTAGAGCTTGGATGACAGAGTGAACACTTAGTGCATACTCATTATGTGTTCTTTGGCACAAAGATTTTGGGGGTGGAGTGTGCATCAAAGCTCTTCCTCCTGTAACAGGGGCAGCCATTGATCTTGTGGTTTGACTACATTGGGCCATGACTCTTAGTCCAAAACTCCCAACCCTATTAAACCGATGCCTATTGGTTGCAAGATACCCCAACTGGAGCCTTCTGCCTAGGGGAGAGCTGAAAGCCATGTCTAGTGAGGTACTGGGCATATTGCAAATCCCAGGCAGCCGCATTCAGAGACGAGCCACTGTCACCGAGTGCGGTGGCTGGGAGCATCTTTCTCTCCCTAGAAGCTCAGCCCTCAGTGCATACAATCTGAACCCGGGGCCCTTCTCCGGAAAAGCTGTGGCTGAGACCAGGCAGGCATAGAACGCGGACCCGGCATGAGGCTTAAGGAAGAGAACCTTCCCTTCTCCCCGAACTTTGCGATTCGGGGAGAAGGGCAGGAAATTCAGCGGGGCTGGCTCATCCTAGCTCTGCTAACTTTTGGGATGGTTTGAGTGATAGAACCACACCAATCAGCATTTGCCCCCTTCTCCTCTGCCCAGAGCAGACACAATTGAACATGCTTGGACAGTTGAGTGTCTCTCCCCAACGCTAGCGTTTCCCACCTCGCCTACCCGCCCCCAGCTCCTGGTACTCACAATTTGTCGCTGTTAATCCTAAATGCCACAAGCCGGAGAACAGCAAAGTAAAAACGCTGGTCAGCCTCGGTACAGAATCCATTTCCCCCGAGTAAGCGGTCCCTCCCGATTGAATCCCAAATTCGCAGGCGCCAGCAGCGGCTTCTTCTTCTTTCTCTCTCTCTGTCTCCCTCTCTCCTCGGCACCGCCTGACCCCCCCCCCCCCCCCCCCCGGGAGGCACCCCAGGCTTCCCCCCCCCCCCCGTCCCCACGCCCCCCCCCAAACGTAGCGGGCTCTGCCTCGGAGCTGCGGCTGAAGCTACGGTCCCCGCAACTGCCGCTTGCTGTACTCGCCCTCCTCGCCCGCCTCTTCCTCCTCTCCCTTAATTTGCTCCTTAAAGGTACAAATTCAAACCCCACTGCAACACCAGGCTCCGAGCCGGGCGGACTGCCACTGCACCTCGGCCGCCGGCGCTGGACTCCGCACCCCGGCCGGCAGCTCCTTATAGGCGAGCTGGGCGCGCGGCGCCGCCCCCGGCCAGGCCCGCCCCGCGCTCTCCTATAAGAGCTGCCTGGGCGGGTCCTCGCCGCGCTCGGGCGCCCTGGCTCCAGGCCCTCGTGCGCTTCCACAGCCCGGGGGCCGGGGTCCCTCTTCCGTGGGCGCGTCTCGCTCCCCTCCCCTCTCCACCCCTCCTCTGCCTCCCGCCCTGCCTCCGCTCGGGGGACCGCGAAGAAGCACTGACATTTCAACCAGGTTTTTCAAGAACATCGCTGCCCAAAGGATGCTGAAAGGAGTTGGAAGACAGAACGCATCAGCAAGAGCGAATTTCCCATGGAAAGCTTGGCAACGAGCTAACGAGATGCCTTTTTTTTTTTTTTTTTTTTTGAAAGGAGAGGGAAGACGAAGTATTGAGTGATGCGCGATTTTTTCCACCGTGTTTGTTTCCTACTATGGAAGGCTGACGGGTATTGATATTGGGATTTCTGATTTAGCTGTTTAACGTTACATTCGCGTCCCTGCTCTTCGACCCTGCGCCTCGCTCCAGTCGTTCGCACTTTCAGGGCGACCACATCCACGCCTCCCTCCTCGCTACTGGCACGTAGCTTGGGGCGAGTACTGCAAGGTGTCCAGGGCTTTAGGTTCCCGAGAGAGGGAGAGACAAATTAGGTCTCTCAGTGATAAATGATGCGAGTCAGGGTGGGGGTCCTTGTTGGCTCCAAAGATTGGAGATCTGAGCCCGCCTCCCCTCTCCCCCTCCCATGGAAGGATTTAAATTTTAAAAGGGGGTAAAGAATAGTTCTGATTTCTTCCTAGAAGCTTCCTATTGGAAACTCTGGTTCTGTCTTTGGCTTCTAGTTTATATTTGGGGACTCTCCTGCTTTACCCTATCAATTTATTTTGTTTTTGTTGGAAGCTGTCAGAGAGCTGTCAAACCTTAACAAAAGGAGGGACCATAATGATCTATCCTATGTGAAGCTTACAATCAAATTAGGGGTAGAGTCACTTCAGAGGAAGTTGATGTCTCCTCTTCTCCTCCCCCCACCCCCCTGCAGCATCAGCGCCCAGACAGACTTATTTCACACTATAGAGTCTTGACAACAACCTTTGGTCTTGATTGAGTTGGGTTTCATGCAGCTTCTGCATGAATCCTGAGGTTAACTTTGTGGTTTTGGTTAGAGCTGGACTCACTGCATTGGAATACTAGGTATTTGGTAGGTAGTTGAATGACAATTGGTTTTGTAACACCATTATTTTATTAGAGAAAAAAAGAATTCTGAGGGGCCTTTCATCTGTAACTTACAATGACCCTCTTGTCTGTAAGCCTTTTTTTTTTTAAGATTTTATTTATTTATTTATTTATTTATTTGAGAGAGAAAGAAAGAGAGCACAGCAGGGAGTAAGTGGTGGGCAGAGGGGGAGAGGGGAAGAGGAAGTGAGAGAAGCAGACTCCCTGGTGAGCAGGAAGGTGGGGCTCAATTCCAAGGCCCAGGGATCATGACCTGAGCCAAAAGCAACCAACTAAGCCACCCCAGTGCACCTTGTCTATAAGCTTCTAACTGAAAATAATTATGTTAGCTACTAGATTCTTGGGCAACCAGAAGACTTCTCCAGCATACGCTTTACCTGTGGAAGAAGGGCCATCCCCAGGAGATGGTGAATCACAACAGATCAAAGCTTCCGATGATCCAAAAAGCTGCCCAGTTGGCAGGGATCTGAGTAAGGAGGGGCCTTGGTGTTCCAAGTCAAGCTGATCAGGCCTGTCTTTCCTTCTCCTGAGGACCCCAAACGGCTGCCACCCATCTGTGGCCTTTGAGCATTTCAGGTTTAAAAATACCTACGTGGCTAGTTTAATCATACTAGAGTCTAGAAAAAATACGCACCATTATCCAGCTTTGTATGTTCTTTAACATTTAGATATGTTTTAGAAGAAATAAAATAGTACAAATATAATTTAAGTTGCTTTTGCCTTCTTGCCTGATCCCATTTATCTCCTACCATACCTAGAAGCAAACACTTTCTTTTTCATTCTTATACATCATGTTTTTATACATTTACCACACATATTTACATCCCTAAACAATATATGGTATCACTTTGGTTGTCTTTAATTAATATATAAATGGTATCGTACTGTTTCATTTTACACCTGCACTTTACTCAACATTATAGTTTTTGAATTTATGCATTTAGATACATGTAGTGCTAATTCTTTCATTTTAACTGCTGTATTATATTTCATTTTATAAATATGCCACAATTTATTCATTAATTCTACTGCTTATGAATCTACAGATGATGTCCAGTTTTTTGTTTGTTTGTTTTTTCCTTTTCCTTTCTTTCTTTTTAGGGGGGCAGAGCTGAGGGAAAGAGAGAATCTTAAGCAGGCCTCATTCCCAGTATTGGAGCCCTATGTGGGGCTGGAGCTCAAGACCCTGAGATCATGACCTGAACCAAAATCAAGAGTCAAAGGCCAAACTGACTGAGGCACCAGACAACTCTCCAGAGTCTTTTTTTTTCTTTTTATTTTCCCCTCAACATTAACTATACACTCTTGCACCTGTCCCTTAGCATTTCTCAAATATGTACTTAGGAGTAGAATTTCCGGGTCATAAGGAATGCTTATCTTCAGCTTTAGTGGGTCTCTCCAGTTGCTCTATAAAATGATGTTAGCAATTCACACCCTTCCCCCATTAGCAGTGTGTGAGATTTCCTTTAGCTCCATAACTTTGCCAAAACTTTAAGACCTCTCTTTTTACAAATGGGAAAATGATTCCCAGGGAATACAAGTCTTTGTTCACTGAGTTTAATGCTCCACGACATCATCCCACCTTTTGCACCAATCCAAAAATATTTAGATAAATAAAATATTTGTTTTAATTATGGAAGATATGGGATTCATTTCCTGTCACAATGACCTAAAATTGAATCTATCTATGTCAATAAAATGTGCTCAAAGTATATATTAAAAGACAATCAGGGAAATTGTTACATGAAGCTCCCAAACTGTGAATAATCTTCTAGATATTAGTAAGTATTGGAACTCTGCATTTAGATGCCCATATGCAAACCTAGTGTATACTATATAAATTGCACCTAATTTAAAGCCCTATTTACAGTTGTAGCTTTTTTCTCTCTCTCTCAAATACACCTGTTCTCAGAACAACTTTGAGCCTTAAACAGCAGACATTTGTCTAAGATTTGTTAACATTTCAGTAAGAATACTGCAGCTCTGAATGGAGTGAGGGGTAAACAGCTGTTCCTCTTAGACAATAGTGTAAACAATGCCATCTTCTGGGGGCATTTTGCCAACAAGTTTTTATTAGCTGTAGAATATTAATCACTGTTAAGACTCTTCTCAGCCAGATTGATATTTACCTTTTGAAATTCTTTTGTAAACCTTTTAGTCTGATAAATCCACCTTTCAAATGCTGGAGTAGAAGCTGAATAATCTCCCCATTTCCCCCATGTTACTTTATATAGAAGAAGAACTCATACTTGAAGAGTGCCTTGCTTTGACGAAGCTTAAAAATTATGGATAGATAGAGCAGATTGATTGCTAACAGGAAATGGGGGAAAACGGATAATTGAAATCCTCAAATGCCTGCATTTTAGAATGATAAATCTGAACATCTTCTCAAGACAAACTTTTGTCCAAAATCTTAAAAAACGAATGAAGTGGACAGGATGTGATGTTCATGTCCCTTTGATTTTCCCTCGGGCCCTTCTATTTCTTTCCCTTTAATAGAGGAGAAAGGAAAGAATCATTCATCTGCTGGAATCTTAGCCTTGGAATATTCAACAAGTGGTTTGCCTCATTGGTTTTGTAATCCTCCTATGAGGTATGTAGCAAGAATGTTTGGTCATCTCCATTTTACAGATGCGATCCTAAAAGGAGACAGATATTGACACATTAACTATCATACAGGATTAATGGCCCCAACCCATATGGCACTTTAAAATGAAAACTCTTCATCTTTTTTCCTTTATCTTTAGAGAGCTAATAGGTCAAATTCACTGTGACATATGGGTACCTGTAACATATGGGGGAAGAGTCGGCATTGGTCACAATAGGTTACACTGTTGTGAGTATCAGTATTTTTAGATTATTTCAACTTCACATATTTATGGTTTGTTGTAAAGATGGAAGGATGATTTCTGCTGCCATTCATATCTTTAAAATAGAGTTTTTTAAAAGTAATGATGTGGCAGAAAGTTAATTTAATATTTTTCCTTTCACCCTTACTTCTTTAAAAAAATGTTTTCTTTCTTTTTCTCTCTCTTTTTTTTTTTTAATTTTTTCCGTTTTGGAGCATGGGGCCAGTAACATGCTACACTTGTAGGATGTAGGAAATAGGAAATCTGTTCCTGCTCTCATGGAGCTAGAATGATCTGGGAAAGCATGATGTAAACACATTAAAAAGGTAAGGTAATGATACAAGTTAGCATGTGATTAAGTGCCAAATGGCTCAGATAATAAGTGCAATAGGAGTTTTTAAGTTGACAAAGATTGCTTACTCTGGGAAAGAAAACTTGCAGTTGGCATAATGAAGTGGTTGTCTCTTTGCGGGTAAAGGGATTTGAGTCACCCTGGGCCATGAAGATTGTTATTCAAGTCAGGTTAAGTCAGGTATCTTTGTCTCACAGGAAGTCACATTTTAGGGTTATTCAGGCAAAATTCTACTTTACAGGATGGGCTTTTCTATTTAAG